AACCGATGAACATAATACATGGATAACAGATGGACAAGTAGAATAATTTGGTGAAAACAAAACAGTGGCATAGAGCAGAAGAATGGCTGGCAAGCAGAATTATAGCACGTGTTTTACACAATGGAACATTGCATAGAAATCACAGCCGAAGGTCTATCTATAAGGCACGGTTTTGATGGCACCGTTCAATAGATCTCATTCAAAAAAATTGTTAAGAAGCGAAATAACAAACAACAGTTAACATCAAAATAATCCAATCAATAACATAATGATAAGAAAAACAGAGTAATATAACATAGTGGAACCGATGTACAGTAATGATGTTTAATTAAGACCATCAAATGCTGAATATCCATGGACCTAAAATCGCCTTTTCTAAGCATACTCAAAGACATATCAATGAAGCGAAATCAAACCCGTATCTTTCACCGTATGAGTTTCTCGCGCTCAATTTTAATGGACATCAGTCATTAGACATGTTTGAAATTACAAAGTAGCACAGAAGTTGTATAAACATTTGTAAACAGTAGAAAGATATAAATACGAGAAAAATGCTATCAATATGTCACGTACCAACTGTTGAAAGGTTTACGTCATATACCCGGGTAGAGGTTGCTGTCTGATAGTCTGTGATACATCTCTTACATTGAGATGCATAAACATGGTTTTTCTTCATAGGCTGCGATAAACAAATACATCTATGTCCATAGGTGTAAGTGCTTGCCATTACTCTAATACTGCTCATACCGGAAGCGAACAAAAAATACGCTCCGTGTGAAAACACTACCTCACTGAATTAAAAGATATGAGCAAAACCGATAATTTAACATACCTGTTGTATTGCTTCTAAAGATTGAAATCTCCTCCTGGTCCTGCTCCAAATCTGACTCTACGTCTAGCGTTGCAAAAGCAGATTTGAGCTGCTGAACGTACGGCACAACGAAACGCTTCCACTTTACTCGCTGTCCGTAAACCGTTTCGTTAAAAACGTTTTTTGGGTCGTACCACGAACAATCAGACTAAAGCGGAAGAGGTTTAAACTTTCAAAAAGTCCATAAAGAGCGTTTTTGTTTGCCTTTGGACAGGTATGGTTACAGAAAGCAATCTCACATGTGAATCGAACCCTGTTTGAACCGTCGATTTGAAAGGCAGTGAACGATGACTCGAAACCATGGGCAAACCTGGTCAGGTTACCAAAGATGCTTGGCATGACAGTACATCTAAAAATAAAACGATAACAAAAACTGCGTTAATTTAGGCAGATAACGTTCGTTATCACTGGCAGAAGACAGCTAA